GCAGTGGTCTCAGGCCTAGGGATGCAAATAAAAGTCCAGAAACAGGAATTATTCATAAGTAAAAAACTGTAAATATATTTTATGTCTATTATGCAAGAATTCCTAAGGGCCTGGAGAAATAGGTTGCACCTTCTCTGCATCTGGGAAAGTTGGAATTAACACTGAATGCAGCTGTATTGCCTGGGGTCAGATAGCTAACCAGTTCTCTACCTGCTTAACCCTACAGTCTGTTAACTGGAATGGGCTGACTGGAGACCCTTGCTAGAACAGTATTGAGGAGAAGGAGAAACAGTAACTGAGGGTAAATGAATCCCTGAATGGGTTATAAAGTCAGGAAAATCCAGTGTTTCATGAACCACTCTAAAGAGATATAAGCAAGAGATGATATTGTCTCTTAGCTCAATTTTACCAGATGCCTGAAAGGGTGCATCTACATGTTGCTGAGACTACTCCTGTTTTGGGACTACACCGGGACAATTGTTAATGACCAAACAGGATTCTGGTAATGTGCCAGGTTCTTTTTACTCTTATAATTCCTCTGATACAGGAGATCTGTGATTGGCCAGGCACAGTGGCTCATGCTTATAATTTCATCACTTTGGGAGGCCATGGTAGGGGCATTATTTAAGGCCAAGAGTTTGAGACCAGCCAGGGCAAAACAGTGAGACTCCATTCCTACAAACAATTTAAAAATTAGTTGGGCTGTAAAAGTAATTGTGGTTGAAAAAAATAAAAATAAAAATTATTTAGGCATGGTGGTGTGTACCTGTGATGCTATCTACTCAGGAGGCTGAGCCAGAAGGATCACTTGAGCCCAGGAATTCAAGGTTACAGTGAGCTATGATTGTACCACTGCATTCTACCCTGGGCAACAGAGCAAGACCTTGTCTCTAAAATAAATAAATAAAAATTATAAAAAGAGACAATGTGGTCAGAGGCCAGGGTGTGATCAGTGGTTCAATAAAAGTATTTGGCCTTTGGCCCTGTTTCCTGACAAGCAGGTTCTAAAACATTTGCAGTCTCCCCAGTGATAAGCATGGTTTTAATATGGTAATGAGAAGACTAATGGGCTGAGGTAGCTTCAGGATGGGGGATGGTTCCCAGAAACACAAAGTTGTGATTAGAGGATTGGAACTTTCAGCCCCATCCTTTATCTCTGGGAAGGAAAGAGGGACTGGAGGTTGAGCTCAGTCACCAATGGCCAATGATTTAATTAATCTTGCCTACACAATAAACCTTTTATAGAAAAATCTAGAGACTGAGTTTTGGAGAGCTTCCTAACTGGCGAGCACATCTGTGTGTCCACCTGCTGGGAGGACGGTGCATCCCATCTCCAAGGGGACAGATGCTTCTGTATTCAGAGCCCTTTCAGACCTCGACCTGTGCACCTCTTCATCTGGCTACTCAACTGTGGTTTGAATGTTTCCCCAGGGAAGCAACTGTTGGATAATTCATCCCCAATGCAACATTTTTAAGAGGTGGAACCTCTTAGAGGTGATTGGACAATCGGAGCTCTGCCCCCATTAATTGATTCGGTCTGATTATAAAAGGACCTGAGGCTGTGAGTTTGACCTCTTTTTCCCTCTACCTCTCACCCTCTCTTGCCCCTTTGCCTTCTACCAGATACAGTCCCTTGATCTTGGAATTCCCATCCTCACCACCATGAACCAAATAAATTTCTGTTCATTATAAGTTTTCCAGTATCAGGTGTTCTACTACAATCACATAATTTAAACCAGGGTTCCCTAATCCCCGGGCTATGGACTGGCCCAGGATCCTGGCCTGTTAGAAACCAGTCCACACAGCAGAAAGTGATTGGTAAGTGAGAGAACATGAGCATGAGCATGACCACCTGAGCTCCGCCTGCTGTCAGATAAGTGGCAATTTGATTCTCATAAGAGCATGAACCCTATTGTGAACTCTGCATGCAAGGGATCTAGGTTGCATACTCCTTATGAAACACTAATGCCTGATCATTTGAGGTGCAACAGTTTCATCCGAAACCATTCCCCTCTGCCCCCTGCCATCTCTGCTGGTCCATGGAAAAATTGTCTTCTATGAAACCGGTCCCTGGTGCTGAAAAGGTAAGGACCGCTGATTTAAGCTATAACAATAATAAACTGCAATAGTGAGTGTGAAAGGAAGATAAAATTTCAGAACTCTAAACTCATTGTACCAAAAATAAAAGTTAAGTCTGAAAACTGAGTGATGGAGAAACTGCCTTTCTTTTGTTCTTCTCCCCAGGTGGCCTCCCTCACAAATGGCTCACAAGATAATTCCTTGTGAGCCCCAACATCTTTACTCTGAATCAGAGTTTTGTTGAATTCCCCCTCCCCACCAACAATGTAAATTAACAGCTTATCTTCACAGGTACAGGACAAACACAAGACTAGAAATCATCCTTCCAACTACCCGGAGACAAACGCGTGTTTGACTTCTCTACCCAACGTTTACTTTAGCTTATGTAAAATGCATATTTACTGAGCATGAAATGAAAGCATAGTTGACTCTTCCTTTTTCCTCTTCTGCCTACTCTTTTCCCTTTAAATGTTGAAAACCCTCTTAGGAGAAAGCATTGGGCTCATGCTATGGTGATTTGTGTCTCTTTCTCCAAGGTGCGTCTTCAGCTTGGCAAAATAAACTTCTAAACTGATTGAAACCTGTCTCAGACATTTTTTGGTTTACATGACAATAGCAACTTCCTGAGTTCTTTGAGTTAGTTTAAAAAGTTCCGGGCGAGGCGCAGTGGCTCATACCTATAATCCCAGCACTTTGGGAGGCCAAGGTGGATGGATCACGAGGTTGAGATGGAGACCATCCTGGTCAACATGGTGAAACCCCATCTCTACTAAAAATACAAAAATTAGTGGGCATGGTGGCACAGCCTGTAGTCCCAGCTACTCGGGAGGCTGAGGCAGGAGAATTGCTTGAACCCAGGAGGTGGAGGTTGCAGTGAGCTGAGATCATGCCATTGCACTCCAGTCTGGCTAACAAGAGCAAAACTCAGTCTCAAAAAAAAATTTTTTCCAAACCTTGAGAGGTTAGAGATCCCTGACTTTGCAGCCATGTTAGACAGCAGTGCAGGTAACCTGGGACCCGATACTTGTGACTTGTCCTGAAATGAGGACAGTCTCATGGGAATGAGACCTTAAATCTGTGGAGTCTCAGGTGAACTCCAGGCAGTTAGTGTCAGAATTGAGTCAAGTTCTGGGACTCCCAACTGTTGTTGGCGAGAATTAGAAAATTGTTTGGGTGGAGGAAAAACTCATCACCATCCCACAGAGAGAAACTTATAGTAAGAGTAAGCAAGTAAACCTCTACCTTCTTCGGTCCCAGAGGAAAAGATTTTTGAAAATTAAGAATTTATTTCATGTCCCTAAGTCTGCTAAGCAGGTTGCCACCAGCTGTTCATTGTCCACATGTGGACTGGTCCTACCTCTAACCAAGAAGTTAGCATTCTTGAGGTTTTGAGGGGGTCACATAAAAATGGAGATTCTTTCCCCAGAAATATTTCCACACACAAGAAAATATAAATATTGATATAAAATATCAGTAGGTACCCAGATCCTCGGAGATCTCACAAACCTGGGTGTTTTTAAATCCTAGTAAGAGACAATGCTGAGAGACGATGTGTGAATAATCATTTCGCCATCACACAAGGCCACTCCAATAATCTAGAGTATGAACTGGGATAGACAAACACTTGAGGTAGTAACTTATTTTCAAGGGAATGGGTGGAAATATTTATTAGTCACTGGTTCATTCAGACACTCTGAGTGCCTCCCAGGTACTAGATAAATTTCTTGTCTTCGATTACTGCTTCATGAATTAAAATTTGTCATTCTCTTCTCACCCCCCACACTCCAGCACTTGAAACCTTTTATTACATCAGTACACCTGCTCTGACCACATATCTGCCCTCCTCTCAGTTTCTCTCTGTCCAGGCCTCCTGGCCTCCTTGCCCCTCTGGGAACAAAGACAGCTTTCTGCCCTAGTGCATTTGAACATGAGTTTTCCCTGCTTGGAAAGAACTTCCCCAAACATCCTTGCGGACATTCTTCATGTCCCTCAAATCTTTCCTAAAAGGTCACCTTTGCAATGTGGTGCACACTGACCACCCCAGCGCAACAGCCACCTTCCCTGTCCCCACTGCCCACACCCTGGATCACCTGCTTCACAGCACTTCTCACCTTCCAGCACTTTCCTTCCTTACTCTGGTTATAGTGTATCTATAGTCTGTCTCTTCACACTGGAACACATGCTACAAAATGCCAGAGATTTTTCTGATTTTAATTCAATGGCGTTCCCCAGATGCAGAACCACTATGTCCTATGTCTGGCGGACAACAAAGGTCAGTTGAATGATCACTGCAGAGCACTTCCTATTCTAAAGACAGTATCTTTATTAATGTAGCCTCAGGCCAAATGCTGTTTTGTGGCAGCTACAGCACAAGGTCCCCCAGTGTTGCTCATGCCCTCCCTCCCCTATCCCTCGTCCCACACCACCACCATTCCCAGTCCAGCAAAATGCAGCACTTAGTAAGGTTTCTCTCTTCAGAACAATTTTTGACTATGGACCCAATTTTACAACAACTGTAAACTGAAATTAGACTGCTTTATAGATTCATGAGTTGGGATTGGAGCCAGCACCAAGATCACTGGAACCAGGGCAGGGAGAGAGGGCAGGAGAGCAGAGCAGAAGAGGAGCCCTAGAAGGAGGCCAGGAGCTGAATGGGTCTGAAAATGTGTCTCAGAAACACAGAGACTCCTGTGTGCAGGGGCCGCCCTGGGTGATGTGTAACTCTCTGTGGTCACAGCTCTTGCTGGACAAGTTTCTACTGAAGGGACAAGGGCAGTGGAGCAGTGAAGCTGACCCAGCTGAGGACTGACCACAGAAAGCCCATAATGGACTCAACAGCAACTGGGCACAGGCCCACACTCGGCTCCTCACAGCCTTCTCCATCCCCACCTGCAACAGACTCAGCACAGTGAACATGCAGATTCTGGAAGGTTCTCAGGTCTTTATTTCCTCTCTCAAATTTTAGGAATTGACTAATTAACCCATCAACTTCTCATGGCAAATATTTGAGAAAACACATTTATCTTCAGATTCTCATTTTCAGTAGGGAAGTAAGAGGTTGCAGCTCAGTGCACCATGAAGTTGAGACAGAGATGGAGGCACCCAGCCCCACCTCTCTGGAACAGGAAAGATGACTGGGGAGGGAACATGGTGGACACGGGGTGGGTTGTCTCTCCACCTCCTCACTTTCTGCTAACAGGGACACAGACACATTGAGATGCCTTTGTAGAAAGAGATGCCAGAGGCTCTTGAAGTCATGGAGAGAGGCGTGAAGAAATCCTGCGTCTCAGTCCCACACAAGGCAGCTGTCTCAAGCTACAGCAAACAATAGTTATGAACAAATTCAGGTCAGTCATGGTAAGTGATGACACTCTGAACAGCCCACCAGACACTTGAAATGTCACAATCAAAGAATGCCCATTACCCAGTCCTGTCCCCTCTGCCCCAACCCTGTCCATTACAGATCCTGCAAGGCCTCACCTTACAAGCCCTGAGAGACACATCAGAGCCCTGGGCGGTGTTGCTGCCTAGGGTAGAACAAAAATAGAACCTGGTCAGAGCCCACGGGAGATGTGGGACAGAAGAAATATGGGGTGGGTGAGCTCCTCCACACTCCTGCCCCCACCACTTAGACGTAGCCTGACAGCAGCTCTCTCTTTTTCCACCTGTGGGAAGAAAATGTCCTGTGAGGGGACAGGGATGAGGCAGGGCCATGAAATCTTAGAGGAACCTCCTAGTCTTGAACCCAAGAGGAGTTTCCAGAACTATGACTACAAACCCAGGGCAGGATCAGGAAACATGAGGAAAGCAGGTGTGGGTCCTGGACCAACCACCCTCCTAAGGTCTGTCCTTAGCAGGGACCTTCCTCTGACTTGTAAATGCTGGAATCAGGACCCCAACACCAGAGTCATCAAGGTGATACATCTGTCGTTCGTTGTCACATGTGCTTCACAAAAGAATAAGTGCTGGCATACAAGGACCCAGGCTGGGTTGGCCCGTGTGTGGATGGTGCTTCCCAGTAATGAGGCAGAGAACACTTCCACCTGGGGCTTGAAACCCCTAGTAGAACAAGAAAACCCAGACCCCACCCCTCACCCCTTCCCTACCTGAGCCCTTTTCCCTCCACATCACAACAGCCATCACAGCTCCCATGACCACAGTTCCTACGACAGCTAGGCCAGCAATGATGCCCATGAAGGGGATGGTGCACTGGGAAGACAGCTCTGGGCAAAAAGGGGAAGGTAAGGGGTCCTGACCCCAGGCCTCAGCCCTGACCCTGCTGAAGGGCCCCAGAAGGGCTCCTGCTTTCCCTGAGAAGAGATGTGACCCCCCAATCGCCTCCTTACCCCATCTCAGCATGAGGGGCTCTGACAGCCCCTCGTGCTGCCCATGGCACGTGTGTATCTGCTCTTCTCCAGAAGGCACCACCACAGCCGCCCACTTCTGGAAGGTTCCATCCCCTGCTGACCTGGTCTCCACAAGCTTGGTGTCCTGAGTTTGGTCCTCCCCATCCTGCTGCCAAGTCAATGTGATCTTTGCAGGGTAGAAGCCCAGGGCCCAGCACCTCAGCCTCATGGTCAGAGAAGGGGTGGTGGGTCACGTGTCTTGGGGGTTACTGAAAGAAAGAGTCAGAAAATTCAGTCACTTTGCATTTCTCATGAGACACCCAGCAGCACCCATGTGGTTATCCTGAGAATGGACAGGACGCCTGGGGTGGGGACAGGAGCACAGAATGCAGACACCAGCCTGGACACAGGCACCTGGGATAATCTCCTGTTCCTTGGAAAGTTCTAGTCTCTGAGGGAGGAACAGCGACTTCTGGTCCTGACCTGAGTGGAGGCCTAGGGACTCAGAAAAGCTGGAATCAGAGCTTCAAATTTATTGAGTCTGAGGCAGAGAAAAAGGCCTGAGAAAAAGTCACGGTGCCCAAGTGTGCTGCAGGGGTCAACTGGGACCCCTGATCAGTATTCCAGGGACTGTCTTCCCTCCATTTCCTCAGAGAAGTCATCCTTTAATTGTCCTAGAGAGCCAAGGGGACTCTCAAAGGAAACTCAGGAAAACTCTTGCAATTCTCCATTCAACCGAGGGCGATATTCTAGTGCTGATCCCATTTTTCTCCCCTCCTCATGGGAGGCCATCCCGGAAGATCTATAGATGAGGGAGGCTCCCCACTGCCCTGCTACCCGCGCTGCAGCGTCTCCTTCCAGTTCTCCAGCTATCTGCGGAGCCACTCCAGGCACCTGCCCTCCAGGTAGGCTCTTCACTGCTCCGCCACACTGGCCGCCTCCCACTTGGGCTGGGTGATCTGAGCTGCTGTGCAGGAGGCTGTCCAGGAGCGCAAGTCCTCGTTCAAAGAGAGGTAGTCCTTGCGGTCTTAGGCTAACTGGTAATATCCGCAGAGGAGGCGCTGGTCAGACCCCAGGTAAGCCCTACCAACCGAGCCCCGCCCCCGCCCGGACCAATCCGTGGGGATTTTGGCCTAAACTGAAAATGAAACCGGGTAAAGGCGCCTGGGCCTCTCCCGGGTCGAGGGTCTGGGCGGGTCTCGCAGCCTCGGGGTGGATCTCGGAACCGGAGACTCACGGGGACCTGGGCTGTCCGTGGGGGATGGGGAGGCGTCGTGACCTGCGCTCAGGGCCGAGGTCACTCACCGGCCCGCTCTAGTTGTAGTGGCCGCGCAGGGTCCGCCGGTTCCCTCGGAAATTCTGTGCGGCGGCCTTGGCTTTCTGCGCCTCCGGGTCCCAGTACTCCGGCCCTCCTGCTCCACCCACGGCGCCCGCGGCTCCATCCTCGGACTCGCGGCGTCGCTGTCAAACCGCACGAACTGCGTGTTGTCCACGTAGCCGACTTCGAAGTACCGGGGCTCCCCGCAGCCTGGCCGGGACATAGCAGTGTTGAAATACCTCATGGAGTGGGAGCCTGGGGGCGAGGAGGGGCTGAGACTCGCCCGATCCTCCTCCCGGCGCGGCTCCCCGGGTCCTGTGCCTCCGGCGAGCGGGCCCCTCCCTCCTCCCCGCGGAGGCCATTTCCCTCCCGACCCCGCACTTACCCGCCCAGGTCTGGGTCAGGGCCATGGGCCCCGAGAGCAGCAGGAGGAGGGTTTGGTCCCCCATGACCTCCATCCTTGGTGTCTGGGGAGAAGCTGAGTCCCAGTGGATGACTGGGAACTTCAGAACCGGGACCACGGCGACGTTGATTGGCTTGTCTAGAAACCCGACACCCGGTGGAAGTGGGAACTTAGGCGGAGTCTTGAGTATCCTGGAGGAAGGACCCTACACAGTCTGGGAGAAGTGAAAACTCAGGCTAGTGTGGAATCTCCAACGCTGCGCCTCCTCAGTGATAATGTGCACGGACTCGTGGCGTGCACTTTGGAGCGCAACACCCTGAGCCACTGCCGGGACCTGGGACTTTGTCCCTATCCCTCTTCTCCTACATCAGGCTTCTTTGTCACACTGTCTACCTGAGTCCTGGCCAAGGATCTGTCTGTGGAAACCAGGGAGAGACCCCCAGGCTGCGCCCAGCTCCTCCCCTTCACTTCTTGTCTTGGAATCCCCCTCCCTGAACTGGACTCCCTGCCTCCTACTCTCCTTACCTCTCCCCTTGGACGCTTGTACAAGGACACTCAACATGGGGAACTTGATGCCAGAGAGTGAGCTCACCCTGGGAATGGGGGTTAGAGACAGGGGTTTTCTCTTTAAACCTGGTGAAGTTGTGTCTGAAAGCACCGGATAGAGATTCTCATAGAGTCCAGTTTCCTTTTTGTTTATTAATACAGTAGGTAGCACAATATTGTTAATTCTTGAATGATTAGAATTCCAATCTGTAAAAGACCTGGGTCAAAACAGCATCACAGTTAAACTCTCAAAGCTCCTAAGTTTTACTTTCCCAGACTATGGATCTGTGACTCTGGTTGCTGCAATTAAAATTGTCTTCATTCCCTTGCCCGAGTTTCCCTGTGTGAGTCTGAATAGAAAGAAGGAGGTTTGTTACTGTATGTTGCAACCGGGAGCCTGTAGTCCTCACTCAGAGTTGCAAGCGCTCCATGCAGTCCCAATGCTCCAGCACTGCCTGTTTTCATGAACTATGCACATGTAAGCAGTGTGCATATTTTATTTGGACACTTGGTATTTGTATAACTCACTTTTTTCTTTAATCATTAAGAGGCCATTAATTTTTAGGAAGTCCCACAAAATGTATCAAAGAACTCTTTGCTAGGCACCTCCGCTGCTTTAGAATTCTTTCCCCTGCTCCTTTTCCTTACCTCCTGCTTCTCCCACCCTTCTCTCTGCCCCTCTCATCCCTCATACCCTCCCCTCCCCTTAGTCACTGCCACCCTGTCACCCCTGAATTGTGGCACTGACACTGTCCCTCACTTCCTGCCTGTCTGTTCTCCCTACAGTGATCAGCAGCTGCTAATGTCGCTCAGGTCGTGTCATTTCTTCACTTACAATGGTCGGACTTTGCTCTGCTGTTTTACTATACGTTTTCAATTTGTCTCATATCTCACAGTTTCTGTTCCTCCTTTGCTACTTTCTTATGTGTCAAGGAAACATATTTTAGTTTATGGTTTTAATTCTCCTACTGGCTTTTGACTATATTTCTTTACACAAATTTTTTGTTTTAATAATGGAAACTGGATGCTTTGACTTTTCACAGTGAAGTTCAGATAATATTAAACTACATCCAGCAAAATAAAGGACAGTTAAAATGTTATAGTTTCATTTAACCTATCACTATGCTATTATTGTTGTTTATATTACATCAGTATACATTATATACTCAACAATACAGATGTAATACTCTGTTTTAGACAAGCAGTCATATGTCTTCAGGAAATGAAGAAAATGAGTGTGTATGTGATATGTGTGTGTGTGCATCATTTCTGTTGTTAATTGTTCCTTTCTGTGTATCTGGGTCACCTTCTAGCATTATTTCCCTTCAGCCTGAAGAATCTCGTTGAATTACATGTAGTACAGGTCCCCTTGGAAATGAGTTTTATGGTTTTGATGATCTAAAAATGTCTTTTTTTGGCCTTCTTTCCCCCTTTTCTTTTCTGCTTATTAGGGCATTTGCATGTAATAAAATTTACCAGTTTTGGCTGCACTTTTTGGTGAATATCATTAATTTGTAGTCATGTAACTACCACACTGGTCAGTAGAGAAACACCACATGCAAAGAACCCTCTGCTAGGCTCCTCCACTGCTTTAGAGTCCTTTCCCCTGCTCCTTTTCCTCACCTCCTGCTTCCCCAGCCCTTCTCTCTGCCCCCTCATCCCTCACACCCTCCTCTTTCCTTAGTTCCCACAGCCCAGTCACTCCAGAATTGTGGCATTGTACAGTTTGTTTTCCCTAGAAACTTTCTTTCTGTCCCTTTCTAGTCAATCCTTCCCACCCTCACCCACTTCCCTTCACTCAACCACTGCTCTGCTTCCTGTCACTGCAGTAGTGTATTTCTAGAATTTCATGGACATGCGATCATATGTGATGCAGTACTTTGTTTGGCCTCTCACTCAGCCTGACAATGTTTGAGATGATGTCATTTATTCATTTTTGTTGCTGAGCAGCTGCCGAGTATTGCTGGAATCCCAGTTTATTCACTGGTTTCTCTATTCTCCTCCACTTGATAGAAATGTGGATTACTCCAGTTAGGGTGTGTTATTAATGAAGCCACTATAAATAACTGCTTACAAGTGTGGACTTACATTTTTAATTCTTTTGGATAAATACATATTTGTGGAATTGCTGGGTCATGTGGTAATGGATGGGTAGCCATATAAGAAATTGCCAAACCCCTTTACAAATTTGGCCGAAACATTTTTTGCATTCCCACCAGCAATATCAGGCATTCCTATTTTTTCCATGTTCTTCCCAGTATTTAGATTTATCATACGTATTTTTAACTTTACCTATTCCAGGTGGTGTGTGGTGGTTTCTCATTGTGGTTTTAACTTTCATCTTTGATGACTAGTATTATTTGGTATCTCTTCATTTTCATCTCAGTGACTTATTATATGTATTTTATGAACTATTTTGCAAATTCAGTGATTAATTCCAGACACTTTTTCAGAATTTCCTAGTGTTTTCTACATATGCAATGAAGCTGGTGACAAAAAAAGACATTTATTTATTTATTTCCTATCCATTAATGTTTTTCCTTTTAAAATTATGTTTGCTTGGTAGAGATGAAGTCTCAGAATCAGGCTGGTCTTAGACTCCTGAGCTCAAGTGATTCTCCCACCTCAACGACCAGAAATGTAGGGATTACAGGCATGAGCCAACATGCCCAGTACTTCTATTGGTCTTTTATTTCATTTTCTTGCCATGTTGCACTGGTTAGGATGCCTGCTAAGTGTTTAAACAAGAATGATGAGAGCTCACATGTTTGTTGACAAGGAACTTAAACAAATTTACAAGAAAAAAAACAGCCCCTTCGAAAAGTGGGCAAAGGATATGAGTAGACAATTCTCAGAAAAAGACATTTATGTGGCCAAGAAATGTATGAAAAAAAGCTCAATGCCACTGATCATTAGAGAAATGCAAATCAAAACCATAATGAGATACCATCTCTCGGCAGTCAGAACGGCAATTAATAAAAAGTCAAGAAACAATAGATGTTGGCAAGGCTGTGGAGAAATAGGAATGCTTTTATACTATTGATGGAAATGTAAACCAGTTCGACCAATATGGAGGACAGTGTGGCTATTTCTCAAAGATCTAGAACCAGAAATACTATTTGACCCTGCAATCCCATAACTGGGTATATACCCAAAGAAATATAAATCATTCTTCTATAAAGACACATGCACATGTTTGTTTATTACAGTACTATTTCCAATAGCAAAGACATGTAACCAACCCAAATGCCCATCAAGGATAGATTGGATAAAGAAAATTTGGTACATATACACCATAAAATAATACATCCATAAAAAGGAATGCTTTTATATTTTTTGCAGGGACATGGATGAAGCTGGAAGTCATCATCCTCAGCAAACTAACACATGAACAGAAAACCAAACACCACATGTTCTCACTCCTAAGTAGGAGTTGAAAAATGAGAAAACATGGACACAGGGAGGGGAACAACACATACCAGGGCTTGTTGGGGAGTGGGGAACAAAGAGTGGGAACTTAGAGAATGGGTCAGTAGGTGCAGCAAACCACCATGGCAGACTATACGTATGCAACACAACTGCACATTCTCCACATGTGTTCTGGAACTTAAACTAAATTAATTAAAAAAGGAAAGTGCCTGTTTTACATGTACGCAGATGTTCATTGCAACACTTCATAATAGCAAAGACTTGGAATCAATCTAAATGTCCATCAGTGATACACTAGATAAAGAAAATGTGGCACATATACACCATAGAATACTATGCAGCCATAAAGAAGGATGAGATCATGTTCTTTGTAGGAACATGGATGAAATTGGAGGCCATTATCCTTAGCAAATGAACACAGGAACAAAACACAAATAACACGTGTTCTCACTATAAGTGGGAGCTAAATGATGAACACAGGGACACATAGAGGGGAACGGCACACACTCAGGTCTACTTGAGGGTGGAGGGTGGGAGGAGGGAGAGGATCAGGAAAAAGAGCTAATGGGTACTAAGGCTTAATATTTGGGTGGGCACTAATGGGTACAGAAATAATCTGTACAACAAAACCCCATGACACAAGTTTACCTAAATAACAAACCTGCACATGTACCACATAACTAAAAATAAAAGGTAAATTTAAAAAAAAAGTGCATGTCTGGGAAGAGCATACAGTTTGATTTTATGTTTTTATTAAACCAAGTCACACAATCTCTGCCCTTTATTGGAAGGTTGATTCATATAGGTTTTTGTCATTGATATGATAGGTTTTAGGTCTGCCATGTTATTTTCCCAGTTTTTATTTCTCTGTTCCTCCTGTCCTGAGCAATGACTTCTTATTAGAAACCACAGAAACAAAAGAAAGTAGGATAACATCTTTAAAGTGCTGGAAGAAAAATTGGTCAGCTGAGAATTCTATATCCAGCACAGATATCCTTCAAAAAAAGGCAAAATAAGGAGATATTTCAGGTAAAAGAAAATTAAGAGAATTTGTCACCAGCAGATCTGCACAAAAACAATTTGGTAAAGAAAATTCCTCAGGCTAGAGGCAAATGATACCAGGTGGAAAATGGGATTATTGGAAAAGATGAAGATGATAAAAAATGATCAATACTGAGCTAAGGGCTAAAGGCTATCTTGCTCCCCTCTTTATTCTCACTCTATATCCATAGAACTGTTTAAAGATAATAAAAAGCATTTTTTGTGGGGCTTATAACCTACATAGATACATTACATATAATATCTATCCCAAAAAATAGGACATTTTATAGAGGATAGATTGTTGCAAGATTTATGTATTTATGGGTACTAGTATGTTATTAACTGAAAGTAGACTGTGAAATGTTAAGAATGTGTTAAGTTCTGAAGAAAATTGAGACACACATAAAATTAAAAAGATTGACAAATATTGGAGATGTTTTTTATTTATTTACTTATGTTTTTGAGGTGGAGTCTCACTCTGTTGGCCAGGCTGGAGTGCAGTGGTGCAATACCAGCTCACTGCAACAGTGATTCTCCTGCCTCAGCCTCCTAAGTAGCTGACATTACAGGTGTGTTGCAGGCCACCATGCCCAGCTAATTTTTGTATTTTTAGTAGAGACGG